GAAAACCCAGGTGTATTAGTGAGGCGCTTTCAGGGTTCAAGGAGCACAGCACAAGCCATGTCTCTGATCCTGGGTGATTGGAATTTATTACAAAGATCCAAAAGGAAATTAGGAGGCAACAATGGGAAGCCATTTTAACGGAACAATCAGGCCTCAGGAAGAAGCAGAGCATCGTTCATTGCTCTCCAGGATCACAGAGCACTTCCAAAGTCCCCAAAGCAATACGGGTTTGTTGTCACATAGAAGGGCATTCATTATTTCTGCACAAGATCCCCTTCCATTCACGTGATTCAGTTTCTCTCTCCTGTGCTTCTTCCTCCTGTTATTACTGCCCTCTGGCTACTTCTCAGTTTATTTATCTCATGAATTTTATTTACTTATTGCCTCTATTAGCTCATGGAGTCTGCTTGGTCTCTGCTTAGTTTCCTGGCTCCTATTCTGGTTTGCTTGGAGCATATCTCTGTGTGCTCTTGTGCAGAATAGAGTTAATAACAGGCCCAAGACTGGTATTCTTGGAAAGACCTGCTTGCAAGGTTGGCCCTTGCCTAACATCTGAGAGCTTAGGTTTCAGGGGGGTTCTGACTATTTGCTAAATGGTAAGAGGAGCTCGCTCTGCCTAAAATGTTTGTACAAACAATATGGCTTATGCTAAGTACATGCTTTCCTTCTGGCAGTCAGGAAGGAAGAAGACACCCATGTGACCAACCCTCAAAAAAAACCCTGGGCACCGAGTCTGTCATAAGCCTCCCTGGTAGACAGCATATCATAGCTGCTGTCACAGCTGGTTTCTGGAAGAAAGAAGCTCTTCTTGTGTGACTCCGCTGGGAGAAGACTCTTGGAAGCTTGTACCTTGTTTCCTCCAGACTTTGCCTTATGCACTTTTTCCCTTTGTGGATTTTGCTCTGTATCCTGTTGCTATTTTAGCCATAAGTATGACTGTATCCTGAGTTCTGTGAGTCCTCCTAGCAAATTATTGATCTTAAGATGTTGAGGGTGTGATCTTGAAAACCTCTGACACAACTTTGCTTTCAGACTCCCAAAGAAGGAATATCTTATTCATAGTCCACTCCATAGTACTTATTATAAATCTGACCTCTGGCTGTCTCTATCCTCATGTCTTGTCATTCCCCCACCCCCTGTTCTAGTCACACCAGATTCCTTGCTGTTCCAAACATTCCAAGCATGCTCCGGCTTCGGGGCCTTTGAACTTACTGTTCCCTCAGCCTGTGCCTCCCCCCCCGCCCCAGATCTGCAGGGCTGTTCCTTACCTCATCTGTTCCCTATCTAAAATAACTGTCCCTTCCTACCCACATGCCTTAACTATCTATCCCTTTATCTAGATGAATTACTCATAGCACTTATCAATATTTTACATTATATTGTGTATTTGTTTATTGCCTATCTTCCTCAACTAGAGTATAACTAAATGAAGGCAGGGATTTTGCTTTGTTTACTGCTCTATTTTTAGTAGCTAGAACAGGGCTTAGCACAAAAAAGGACACAATGTATATTATGTTTGCAGAAGGAATGAGTTAATAAATAATGCATCTCTTACCAGGCTACATTATATGCCCTTGGACAGTGTATAGATGTCTGCCTTTAGGTCAAGCCCTGTGGCAGAGACTGCTGATCATCCATCAGTATCTACTCTTTCCTTATTTTGTAGTAAGAGAACCCTGATTTCTGGCAGGGCACCAGAAATAGCGCACTTTCCCAATCTCCTGTGTTGACAGGTATGGCTCTATGACTAAGTGCAGGACAATGAGATATAAGAGCAAGATGGGTGTGCAACTTCCAGGAAGTATCCTTAATTAGAGTGGGTTCTAAGTTTCCTCCCCTTTTCCCTTCCTGTTGGGTGGAATTGGTTGTGATAACCGGAGCTTTGGCAGCTTTGGATCATGAGGCAACCTTGGGAATGGAAGGTACTGTTGTTCAATGGAGCAACAAGATTGAAGAGGCCAGATAATTTAAGGCCAATACCAGTCCTAAAGAACCTACTTCTGGACTTTGACAAGAGTCAGAAATAAACTCCTATTTTGTTTAAACCCAGCCATGTGGGATTTTGTCTCACTTGAAGTTGGTCCTAATCTTAACTAATATAACACTAATTTCCAGTCTGACTTCTTGAAGCCAGGGGGCAGAGTTACACAGGACAAAGCATGAAACCATATGAACTATTTAGTTTGTTTAAAGGAAGCCGTGGGCATAACGGAAAGGCTGGCAAGCAGAATGTTATCCTGTGGCAAATGTCAGCTATGGAAAAGCATTATAATAAGGCCCCCAATGAGTCACACTTTCCTGTATCCACATGCATCTTTGCAATATCATGTTGCCACTCCTTCCATTAAGAGGCAGAGGCTATCTCTCCACCCCCTTGCATCTGGGTTGGCCTTGTGACTGACCTTGACCAATAGAATGTGACAAAAGCAACACTGTGTGAGTTCCAGAGTCTAAGCCGTCAGAGACCTTGAGTGGTTGCAGGCGAGGTCATCAGAAATCCCTCTCAGATGGCCAGCCTACAGAATCATACAAATAAAGTAGTTGCTGTTTTAAGCCACTGTTTTTTAAAAAGATTTATTTATTTATTTGAGAGACAGAGATAGACACAGAGACAAAGAGAGAGCACAAGGGGAGGGGCAGAGAGGGAGACAAGCAGACTCTCCATTGAGTGGGGAGCCCGACATGGGGCTTGATCCTAGGACCCTGAGATCATGACCTGAGCTGAAATGAAGAGTCAGATGCTTAACCAACTGAGCCACCCAGGTGCTCCAAAGCCACTAAATTTTGACAAGATTTGTTATGCAGCAACAGATATCTGAAAATTAATCTGAGCGCATATCTGTTTTTTGCTCAAAAAGATCCTAAGACAAGGCTAAATGTAAGTTAAAAGCATTTAAAGTAACTGAGTTTGGTAACTTCTAGAGAAATCTAAAATCTTTAGCTGACCCACTTTGACATTAAAAATTAGGAACACAAGTCTTTATTCAATAATTACAATAAATGTAAAAAAGAAGTAGTAAAGGATAGTAGAAGGAATATTAGATGAGCAATTGGTAAAACTGGGTTATGGTCCTCCTACCATTAATTGGTTTTATGACCTTAAGAGTTGCGTTGGGGCACGTGGGTGGCTCAGTCAGTTAAACATCTTCCTTTTGATCTTGGCTCAGATAATGATCTCAGGATGGTGAGATCAAGCCCTATGTCGGGCTCTGCGCTCAGCACCAAGTCTGCTTGAGATGCTCTCTTTTCTTCCTCCTCTGCCCCAGTCCCTGCATGCACTCTCACTCTCTCTCTAAATAAATAAATAAAATCTTAAAAAAAAAAAAGTTGCCTAGCCTTTTGGTCTGTCTCATTTTCCTCAGATGTAATATGGGGACCACCTCATTGCTCACTCATTCATTCCAGAATCATTGATTACCCCTAACTATTGGGAGCTACTATCATGAAGAGTGGGATGAAAGGAGATTTTGACTTTCTACTTCTACATTTCTGTATAATTTGATTAAAAAATAAAAACATGCACTAGTTTATAATCAGCAAAGATTGTAAAGATGTTGTTATGGGCTAAACTATGTCTGTACCCAAACTGATATGCTGAAGTCCTAATTCCTAGTACTTCAAAATGTGCCTGTTTTTAAAGATAGGGCCTTTGAAGAGGTGATTAAGTTAAAACGAGGCTCTTAGGGTGAGTCCTAATCCAATCTGACTGGTATCTTTATCAGGAGAGGAAATTTGGGTGCATAAAGAGACACTGGGGATCCATGTGCACAGAAGAAAGACTATGTGAGGACACAGTGAAAAGGCGGCCATCTGCAGGCCAAGGAGAGAGGCCTCTGAAGAAACCATTCCTGCTGACACCTCCATCTTAGATTTATAGATCGTGACAAGGAAAATTTCTGTTGTTTAAACCACCTGGACTATAGTATTTTGTTGGGGCAGCCCTAACAAACTAATACAGATGTCTCTTTCCTATTGAAAAAGAATTAGTACCTTCAATGGATAAAGGGTCCCTACTCTTGAGGTGCTCGTGTTCAAGCAGGAGCAACATGAACCTTTAATACAATGCAGTATGATAAATGCTCTGGTGGATCCACGTAAAGAATAATCTGGGAGTCCAGAGGAGGGGAACCCCACTGGCCGTGGAGAGGGAGACAATGGTGGCTCCAGCAGAGAGAGCTTAGAAAACCTCACCTGTGGGCGAGATGCCATCTTCATGTTGAAGGAAGATTAGGGGATAATAACACTCCTAATTACTGGCCTCTCTGCTGAGCCTCTGTACTTGGGGGTCATATGGAGCATCGGTCCCACATAAAAATGTCAAGAGTCGGTAAAATCTCAATGAACACACATACACAAACTGGAGAGTGGGAATACTGATGTAGTCCATACTCTATTTTACTAAATGAGATTTTACTAACATTTTTTTACTAAATTTTACTAAATTTTTTACTAAATTTTACTAAATGAGAACGGGAATACTGACCTAGTCAATACTCTATTTTACTAAAAAAAAAAAGATATTTAAAATGCTATCTACCATTCTTACTGTATCGTTAAAGATATTTTAACCTAAAAAATAGAAAGGACATTATCTCATAATAAAAAACAACCCCTTTAGCTTTAAATTACCTGCATAGACCTTAGTTTTTGCACTGCACATACATTAGCAGTCTTAGCCAGCATTTGATGGCCACTAGAGTTTCAATGCTCCTTTTATCAGGCCAGGTATGGGCACTATATTTGATTTCTTTATATGGCAAAAGCTCCTGGGTTTTCTCTGAAGTCTATATTTTCCATCTTCCATAGAAACAGATGACACTAGATACAGGGCTACTTGGCTAAAGAGTACATCTTTATCCTCTTTTCACAACTAGATATGATTATGTGGCTAAGTTTCAGCCGATGGGATATAAGCTGAAGTACTGTGTTATTTCTGGGTCATCTCTATCTTAAAAGATAAGCCCCTTGCCTCAGAGTTCCTCTCTTTCCCTTTTTCATAGGTTGGAAGACTGAATGTGCCCACAACCTAACTTTGACCATGTGGATGAAGAGATCACCTCAGGGAATAGTGAAGCAATAATAAATGGAAGGAAGGTGGATCCTGGAGTGACTTTTTCCTGCCAAGCTGGATTGCTCAACTTCTTGTAACATGAGAAGGATATGAACGTCCAGGTTATTTAAGCCTCTGCGTGTAGATGCATACTTTTTGGTTTCATTTTTGGGACAGCTTAGTCTTTGCCCTAATAAGCAAGTGTTGCTTTCTCTTGCTTTTAGCATATTTGCTTTCAACTTTCCCTTCAGAAGTTTCCTGCTACTTCTATGTATCCTGCCCACATGGGAAATGTGAACTATTAGGTCACCAGAGAAAGACACTGACATCATATCCTCCTATTTGGTGTGGAATTCCCCCAGTGAAGAAGGCCAGTTGCTTTCTTAGTACTCTTACATAGCTTTTCCCGTAAGTCTCCACCTCGTTCCCTTCGAACTACTTAGATGACAGTTAAGGGAATCATTCCCACCGTGGATTGGCTGCTCTCCCTCAGGACTCCTCACCCTGCCTCTATCACTTCCCCTTTCTATCTTCTGAACACTGCCTCTTTTACTTGCCAGAGAACTAGATCATACACATCCTCTTTCAAATCATAGACACTTTCAACCAATAGTTATTGAACAATTACTTCATAAGGTACAACCGAAAATGATGACATAGGGAAAGTACCTGGCTTTTCAGTCTACTTGGCAAGAAGAGATAAATAAATTGGCAATTATTATTATTTTTTAAAGATTTTATTTATTTATTTGACAGAGAGATAGACAGAAGAGCACAAGCAGAGAGAGTGGCAGAGAGGGAGAGAGAGAAGCAGGCTCTGCACTGAGCAGGGAACCCGATGTGGGACTCGATCCCAGGACCCTGAGATCATGACCTGAGCCGAAGGCAGACGCTTAACCATCTGAGCCACCCAGGCGCCCTAAATTGGCAATTATAAATTAAAATGAAAAGTTTTATAATTCAAATAAGTGTAGTGTGTCATGGGAACACTTAGAAGAGGCATCTAACCCAGCGTTTGTAGGAGGGAGTGTGGTCAACAGTTTAGGTATCGAAAAAGGTGAAGTAAGTGTGTACATTGGCTGGATAAAACCGTACACCTGTTGGTTAAGAATAATACATAATTTTAAAACTTCAAATAACTTCGAGTATATAAAATAAAAAGTGAAAGTTCTTCCCACACACATTAATTTTAATACCCACTGTGATTTGTTAATATTTGATGTGTGTTCTTCCAGATAAATAGATATGAAAATAGATACACCAATATATATCCACGTAGGGTTTTATTTTTCAAAAATCTGATCATAGTATACATATTGTTACGCAGCTGCTCATTTTCCCCACATAATCTTTTTTATCATGTGCATATATTTACCTCATTTTAAAAATAGCTGATAGACTTCCCTACTAATTAGTCACTAACTTATTTAATAACTCTCTTCTCCTTTGACATTTAGGTTGTTTTCCATTTTTTTTGCCCCTTCAGTAGTAGTGTTTCAAGGAACATTCTATCCATTGGACCCAGCGATAAATATTAAGAGGAAAGAATAACAATCTGAAGATTCTGTATCTGCCCCAAATATCATATGATTATGAGAAAAAAAAAATTTGGTTATGTAAAGTATCAGAAAGTTACCTTCTGCTTTTCTTTCCAGGGAATTTACTTGAGGAATCACTCTAGCAAAATCAAAATCAAAGTAAAACTATATTTCAGGGAGATTTGAAGTGTATAAAAACATGAATGAGTAATCAACCCAATACAATTTAAAAGATCAGAATAGACGATCAGAGCATGGTTCCTGAATAGAGAACTTAAATATTATAAAGAAATTGATATTTCCCAAATTAAGATTTAGGGCTTCTTATGATTCCAAACAAACCCTAAGAGGAGCCTGTTTTTGAATCATGACAAAAATTTCTAGAAAAGTAAGTAAGAATGGTTAAAGAATACTTATAAAAAAGAGGCTGGAGGTTGGCATTTGCCTTATCATATGCTGAAGAATTATAAAGATATCATTGTATTTAGCATTGTAAGTCCTGAGAATAGCCAGATAAATTGGTGACTCAGAAGTAATATCCTGGAATGAGAACTTATAAAATATAGAAAGATAATAAGGTAACATATTTTAAAGAAATTACAAATTTAAGGATAAGGAATTGTTTCTTTAATAATGTGGAGAAGAAGGAAATTTTGATGACTATTTTGTTAGAACTTTGCATCACAGCATACATTAGATAGATTAAAGAGTTAAAAATTCAACCATAAAAAATTGGAGAAGGTATAAAAGAAAGATTATATCTTCCCTTCCTGATGAAAGGCTCCCTCAAGCAAAAAAAACCAATACAAAAAGCCATAGGAAAAAGATAATAGATTTGACCATATAAAAGTTACTGTAGTTCAAAGAAATATAGAGACAAAAGGAGAAGGCAAATCACAAACCAGAAAGATATATACAACACACACTGCAAAAAACAGGGTTGCTATCACTTGGCAAAACTCCAGTACTGGTTAAATCCAAATCTCAGCCTAGTCTGTGCCCAAACCTTCACAGATGAATGTGTCTGATTTAAAAAACAAAACTAGGGTGCCTGGGTGGCTCAGCTGGTTAAGCGACTGCCTTCGGCTCTGGTCATGATCCTGGAGTCCCTGGATCGAGTCCCGCATCGGGCTCCCGGCTCGGCAGGGAGCCTGCTTCTCCCTCTGACCCTATCCCCTCTCATGCTGTTTCTCTCCCTCTCTCTCTCTCAAATAAATAAATAAATAAAAATCTTAAAAAAAAATAAAAATAGAAAACAAAACTATGTGCAGTGGCCTAACTCTAAATTTACTGTTAATTGCCTTCAAGTGAGCAGTTAGTCCTGTTGTAAAACTGTAATACATTTCCCTAGTTCACTCACTCTCCTACATTCCCTGACAACTATTTCATACCCCCTTCCACACTTCAAGCTTCCAGCATCTTCTCCTCATCTTTACTCTAAATGGATGATCTTGCTTATTTCACTCAGAAAGTAGTAGCATTAAGGGGGGCACATGATGTGATGACCACTGGGAGTTATACACTACTAATGAATCATTGGACACTATATCAAAAACTAATGATGCACTCTATGTTGGCTAACTGAATTTAAATAAATGAAAGCAAGCAAGCAAGCAAGCAACGAGAAGAGGATTTCCACATACCCACACCACCATGTCACCCCACCCACTAGCATCTCCCCTCCTGTTCCAGAAGAATCTTCTATGCTCCCATCAACACTTTCACAGGGTCTCTCACTCCCACCCCCTTTCACCTACTCAAGGACAAGGATGTGTCTCCAGAAATTCCCTCTATTTACTGAACCATTCTCTTCAGCCCACAGTCATGACATTATTTTTCACATCTTAAAAAAAGTCTCTTTTGGGATGCCTGGGTGGCTCAGTCGGTTAAGCGTCTGCCTTCGGCTCAGGTCATGATCCCAGGGTCCTGAGATCCAGTCCCATAATGGGCTCCCTGCTCAGAGGGGAGCCTGCTTCTCCCTCTGCCTGCCACTCCCCCTGCTTGTGCTCTCTCTGTCACATAAATAAACAAAATCTTAAAAAGAAAAAACCACTCTTTTGTCCCACTTTCCTCTTAAGTTATTGTCCTTTTGCGCTGCTCTGCTCTGCAGCGATCCCCCTCGAAGGAGTTGTGTATACTTGTTTTACCATTTCCAATTCCTCGACTTGCATTATCTCTTGACTCAATCCATTCAGGCTTTCACCCCCACCAACTCCAGTGCAACTGCTCTTGTCAAAGTCAGCCATGACTTTCATTTTTGCTAAGCCTAATGATCAGCCCTGGGTTTTATCTTGCCTGATCTATCAGCAGCATTTGACACAACAATCACCCCTTCTTCCCAGAAACATTCAGTTCACCTGGCATCCAGGACACCAGTCTCCTTCCTGTGTTATTCCTGCCTCACAGCTTTCCATGTCTAACATGGCCCTCCTGATCTTTCCACATTCCCCCAGCTGTTTCACTTGGGAGTCTTCACCATTTCAGTGAATGATAACCTTCTTTCCAGTTGCTCAGACCAAAAATCTAGTAGTCATATTTGATTCATCTCATTTTCCCATACTCTGCTTATAACCAGACAGTAAACCTATTGGCTCTCTCTTCAAAATGGATGTGAGTATTTATCACATCTTACCGTCACTGCTCCCATTCTTGTGCAAGCCACAACGTATCTCAAGTGGATTAATAAAATAATCTTTTCACTGTTCTTCCTGCTTCCACCCTTGCTCCTTTTGTTCTTCACCCTGCAGTCAGAGTGATCCTTTTAAGTCTGATTACTTGTTGGGTCTTTGCTCAAAACGTTCCAACAGAGTCCTGTCTCAGAGTCCAACTCAGTGTCCTCCTGTATGATATGCCCCCTCTCCATCCTCATCCTTTACACCTTCTTCTTGCTCACTCTGCTTCAGTCACAGCAGCCTGCTTACTGTGCCTGGAAAAAGGCAGGCAGCCTGAGCCTTTTCAATAGGTCCCTCCTCTCCTTTTTATCTTTACTCAAATATCACTTTCCCTGCCCACTGTAGTCGTTCCTGTTAAATCCCTATCCCATCCCTTGCTTCATTTTTCAACATACTATTCATCACCCTCTAATATACTATATAATTTTATGTATTTTGTCTATTGTTTCTGTCTACTCCCATTAGGATGCAAGCTCCATGAAGTTAGGGATTTTTGTTTGTATTATTATTATTTTTTTTACTGATGTAGTCTCAGTGCTGGCACATTGTAGTTGTTCAATAAAGGTTTGTTGAATAAACTAATAAGCTATGTTTAATGAACATACAAAGAGCAAAAGGGAGTATAAGTCTCTCAAAATTCCTAAAATGTCAATTGACAATACCCGTCAGAGTTCTTAACTATACATTCAATAATTTCACTTCTAGAAGCCTATCTCAGTACAGGATTTCCCAAGCTAGAATAAGGGAAATACTGTTCCAGAATAGGTATGCAGAAAATAAAGAAAATACTCTGAAAAAAAAAGTGTCTTCTAACCTGCTGTGGTTCTGATTTGGTGGTACACTGAGGGGTTTTAGTATATACTGATGCCCGAGTTCTACCTTTAGAGATTCTGATTTCATTGTTTTGACTGTTGTCTCCTTTGTCATGATATTAGCAGCCTATAATGATTATTATTGAGAGCCTTAATTCATTAGGGGCTGTAGCGGTACCTTGTTCACATTTCTGGGCATGTGTATATATATATATATATATATATATATATATACACACACACACACACAAAGAAGGGGTTAGAGTCTATTATCTGTAAACATTCTTCCAACTGGGACACTCCATGTTCACATGGAAAATGCTCTTAATTAGGGGTTTGTATGGAAGCAGTGACTGTTTCTTCCAGGTGGTTTATTGGTATATGTGTGTGCTTGCATGTGTGTGAAAGGAGAGAAAGCATGTCAGCTGTATAGTGCTATAAAATAAGAAAAGATATTTATTTTTACTACAGAGAAGCCAAGAGAATAAGTAGAACTTCCACAAAGAGTCACCAAGCCCTCCACCGCCAAGCACGGCAGGCGTGACCCTAGTGGAACCTGTTACATGCCTCTTGTCGGGCCAGCTATAGAGCACATTAAGGAACAGGATTCTGAGAGCAGGAGAATTGGCTTTTAAAATTATCACTGATTTATTTATTTTTAGATATGTCTTAGCCTACTTGGGCTGTTCTAACAGAATACCATTGATTGGGTGGCTTATCAACAACAGAAATTTGGGGCGCCTGGGTGGCTCAGTTGGTTAAGCGGCTACCTTCGGCTCAGCTCATGATCCCAAGGTCCTGGGATCGAGCCCCACATCGGGCTCCCTGCTCAGCGGGAAGCCTGCTTCTCTCTCTCCCACTCCCCCTACTTGTGTTCCCTCTCTCCTGTCTCTCTCTCTGTCAGATAAATAAATAAAATCTTAAAAAAACAAAACAAAACAAAACAGAAATTTATTTCTCACTTCTTTGGAGACTGGGAGGTCCAAGATCAAGGCACTGGCAGATTCGGTGTCTGATGAGGGCCTGCTTCCTGGTTCACTGATGTCCGTCTTTTCTTTGTGTCCTCCCTTGGCAGAAGGCGTGAGGGAGCTCCTGGGGTCTCTTTCCTAAGGGCACCAATCCCCTGCATGAGGGCTCCACCTTCTTATCTAATCACTTTTCAAAGGCCCTTATCTCCAAACTCCACTTTACATTGGGGATTAGATTACAACACAGGAATTTGGGGTGGCACATGAACACTCCCTCTCTAGCAACGTAGGACAATGAGAAACATCAGCAAACAGTGCAAGTAACTCTTTTTCATCGTCTAGACACACAGTATGGAAAGGACTTCTGACCCTACGGAACTTGGGTCAGCTCTCTGGACGTGTGATTTATAGCCTTCTCTACAATACCTCTTTAAGTATGATGATTAGGATACATACTCCAATGAGATAAATCTGCCAATAAAGAAATAATTTTGTTTTATTCATTCTGAGTTAGTTCAGTTGCCACTAATAATTTGCTTTCTCAGCTGAATAAACAATAAATTCAGGCAGCTAGTTAGATGTATGGTGCACTTGAAAGAAAGTTTTTAGAACACAGAAACCAAAGCTGTTCACACTATCATTAAAAAGATAATAGCTGAGCTGAATTAACCTACTTAGGGATGCATTTCTTCCCAAGAGAAACTACAAAGTTATTCCTCACCAGCGGACTTCACTGCCCCCACCACAATTAGACATTAGGGATTAAATAACCTGGTGTTGCACTTACCACTGTGAACTACAAAGCCGTCAAAAAAATCCAATTACCCACTTAGATAACGAAAGAAGTGCACTTGTAAGGGCCTGTTTTATAGAAAAAGTTATTTTATGTAACACTTGGTTTTAAATCCCAGGTCTGTAACTTATTATAAAATGAGAAAATTCACTTCCAAAATATTAATTATTAAATAATATATTAATAAGTATCGGGTGCTTATAAGTATAAAATGCCTGGCACATAGCAAAGGCTCAGTGTGTATTAGCATTTATCATTATAGGGATGATTTGTGTGGCTATGTTGCAAATACTACTAAACATCACTTATGAGTCTTTTGGTTAAATCTTTTTAAGAAGATTAAGGCCATTTCTTTTTGACCTCGCCAATTATGTTACAAAGTAGATTACCTCTGTAATGTGAGAACAACTGTAGTTCTTGTTAATTTTTTATTGTTAGTTTCACCACACAAGATGTCTAGTTTCATAAAGAACTTGGTCAGCTATTTTACTGATGTTGTAATAGTTTTGAATAGATGGATAGTGCCACAAAAGTGAAAATGATTTTTGTGATCCCAGAAACCAGAACGTGGCAGTGAGCATGGGTATTGGGTGGTGGCAAAATTTACAGGAAAACCTTCACCAGTGAGGACGCAGATAACCAGACCCTTCTGTCTAGGATTCTAATGGATACCCTTCTTATTGTCCTGGATCTCGCTAAACTTTTTTTTTTTCACACAGGATAGTGATGTTGAGGTTCTGGCCATAATCTTCTCATGACCTCATAGGTTTATGTTTGGTCTCTGAAAATGAGGAAGGCTTGAAGAACAACAGTCTTAGAAGGAAGAAGACCATGAAGTAATCTTGTGAATGTAGTAAAGCATCAGCAGTATAATCATCATGACCTAACTGGCTGGGCCTAGTGAGCAGGGATCTCTTTGTTTATTTTGCTGAATTGTATATTAGGAATGATTGAGTGGCAATAGTTGCTTTTCTAGACATCCCCTTTCTCTTTTTATTGACCACCACCCTTGAGGGGTGATTGGGGTTAGTTGAAACCAACTGGTCTGGATTGAAGAGTTCCTGCACTGTCCAACCATTTTGTTTTTCAAGATTGTCTTTAGTTTTGGTGAATGAGAAAGCACTTGGTTGCCATTTCCTTTCTGAGAACAGCTGAGTTAGTAGGGGAGGAAGTAGATGTTTGGCTGAGTTCTCTTCTATGGGGTTAGGGCAGGGCTGGGCTGCTGAGCATCAGCTTCTGCTTTTGTGGGGCTTGGTTTCCTGGTTCCTCTTTATAAATGTCAGTAAAATAAGTCTGAGCAGCCCTCTCTAATCTCCTTTCTGGGAACAAATGATTGAGGGTACAAGGAGTGGCCAACTTGCTTTGTCGAAACTCTTGGCCACGATTGTGCTCAACATTCTTAACTGGTCTCCTATCTTTGCTAATCTTTTTAAGATCTCGTCAAACCTTTAAATAATAATAAAAAAAAAAGGTCTGATTTAAATATTTCTTTTGTGAGGGATGCCCGAGTGGCTCAGTTGGTTAAATATTGCTTCTGTGAGAATGTTTTTGCCTGTGTTGAAGAATATAGCTTTGAGGAAAATCTAAATGAAACAACAAGTGCTTCTAGATAAACTTGGTAGAATCAGAGCTTCTGATCTTAAGTGGGAGTCTTTGGGAGTCCTGAGGTTGGATGTGGTTCTGCCATTAACTGCCATGCTTCATCATTTGTTTTATTTGATGTTGAAATCATACTTATAATATTATTTTACACTACTTCCCAGCATTACATCAGTGTTTTTGGCTCTCTGGGCCTTATTTGTCCATGAGATGAAAACTTCGGCTTCCTTAAGAATGTCTCTCTCTCCTGCTAATGTGATTATCTCTGCAACTCTTCTCAGGCTGTATTATATCTATGCCACTTCTTTGCAGATGTTTGGGAAGTGGTGGTTGATCTAAAAATACTCAGTTAAGAATCAAGAAAAAATCAAGGCTTCTGCCATGCAAATTCTTTGACTCTTCTCAACATTTCTGTTACCATCATGAAGTTAATTAGGTGATTCTTTAAAGCCCTACAGATATATTTTACTGCTAAAATGCTTAATTCTACCACTGCAATTTAAGTCTAAAAAAATTACCTTTAAGCTGGAGGGTTCTTGTTGGGGGGGTGGTGGTTGTCAAGATTGCCTAGATTCAAAACCGAGTTTAGCCATTCTCTAGCAATGTGGTCTCTGGTGAGTTTCATCATCTGTGAAATGGGGATAAAAATTAGCAGTCACCACATAGGATTGATGAAAGGATTAAGTAATCACAGTTTAAGCTACTATTGTTTTTCTCTTCCTTAATAATAAAAAATAAGGGAAATATGTATTGAATATTTACTATTTCCTAGGCACTAGTCAGACAATTACCTCTGATCCTATGTAATTCTCTGAGGCAAGCATTCTTTTATTTTTCAGATTATTAAATTATGACTACAAAGTTTAAGTGTCCTAAAGGTCACACTGTAAGGTGTCCGAGCCCAGGTTTGTTTCTAGAGGACATGCCCCTTCTCACTACATGAGGTAAAGAGATAAAGGAAACTTTTTATTCTTTTTTTTTTTTTTCAGATTATAATGTTTCAGGGTTTCCCACTACTGTTACATGATTTTTTTGGATGTATAAAAACAAATTGACAGCACATAAAAAGGCACAGAGGAAACTTAAAATGCCCATTACTAAGTGCAAGAAGCCAATCTGAAAGGGTACATAGTATTTGTTGCCAACTATACACATTCTGGAAAAGTCAAAACCATGGAGACAGTGAAAAGATCTGTGGTTGCGAAGGGTTAGGACAGAGGGAAGGATGAATAGGTGGCATACATATCTTTAGGGCAGTGAAACTACTCTGTGTGACACTATAATGGTAGATACAAGTCATCACACATTTGTCCAAACCCATAAAACGTACACCACCAAGAGTGGGCCCTAAGGTAAACTATACACTGTGTGCCATAATGATGTGTTAATGTAGGTTCATCAGCTGTAACAAATGCACCACTCTGGGCAGGGAGGGGGGCGGATACTGATAATGGAAGAGGCTAGGAATGTGTTGGAGTGGGGATATACGGACATCTCTGTACTCTTAAGTTTTGCTATGAATCTAAAACTGCTCTAAAAATTTGCCCATTAAAAAAAAAGCATAGAGAAAATTGGGAAAGGGATATAATGTGAGAAGGAAAGGGTAAGGAAAAATAAATTTGCAAAGGAATTTAACTACTATCTACCTGCCTCGTATTAGAGTGAAAAGTGCAAGAGCAGGTCAGATGATTTGTGCTCAAGTCCTGCTTGCTTCCAAGTTCCTGGTTGACCTTCAGCAAACTACCCCACCCTTCCGGACCTCAATTTAAATATGCTTAAAAAGAAGTGGTTAAATTGATCTACAGTTCTCTTCTTGGGCTAAAATTCCAGCTTTAGGAATGAGGACCCATCCCCGACTGTTCTTTTTTTCCTTCCGTCCCCACCAGCCACCCTGGCCTAAACCTGTATTCAACATCACGCTTTTTTTTTAACGTACCCACTGGGCGCTAAACACAGCCACTGTTCCTTGGAACCGCTGGGACAAAGGGATTAAAGGGCTCGGGTGGAGGGCTGAACTCTGAGCGAGAAAAGAGAAAGAAAAACCTAAAGCAGCACAGCGAGCACTAGAAGCCTGCAAAAGGAAAATTACAGGGCAAAGGGGACGCGGCGCAGCGACGGCGGAAGCGGGGAACGGGCGGGGCGGTGCCGAGAGCCCATTGGAAGGCTAAGGAGGCGGGGCTCGAGCTGACAGCCGGCGAGGAGGGAGGGAGGCTGCGTGGGCGACGCCGGCCGGTTCCGGACCCCTCGCTTCCCTTCCTACAACCCGGGCGAGCCCGGCGACGGGCGTGCCGACGCCACGTGACGTCATAAGGGGCGGGGCGGCCGGGGTGTGGGGTCCAGCCGGCGCGCGGGCGCGTTCAGCAGTCGCTGTTTGGGACGTAGACTGCGTGGTTGCTAGGTCTCCGCACCGGGTTTGCTGTCACAGTCTGTCCCTTCCCGAAGCCTGGGACAGACTGGGCGCGCGCCCGCGCGCGTGTGTGTGTGTGGTGTGTGTGTGTGTGTGTGTGTGTTGTGTGAGGGGGACTCAGGGCAGAGACGTCCCCTCGCTGCCTTTTTTTTCCCCTTCCTTTTATCCAAAAGAGGGGGGCAGTTCAGTTCGCACGCTTGCCTTACTGTCGCCCCGTTGGGAGCGGGGTTTTGTGCGGACTGGTTCGTCTTTTTTTCCTTTTAAACTTGTGAGCCTTTTTTTTCCCCTCCTTCTTTTTTTGGACTCAGTGCCGTCTGGGCTGGTTTCCTTGATCCCTGCCTAACCGCTTTCTGCCCGTTCTCTTCGCCATCCCCGCCCAGAGTCTCCCTTGCGCCCTCGCCCTTGCCCGGGAGGGTGGGAGGCTTTGTCCCACTCCCTGCCCACCCGCGTCTTCGCAGCTGTAGCCGCACCTGCCTCAATATGAATGGGGTCAACGACCCACCTCTTTTTATAAAAGATATTAAGCCCGGACTGAAAAACTTAAATGTCGTCTTTATTGTCCTGGAGATAGGTAAGTGGGGTCTGCAGCCCATCCCTCTGCCCCCTTGCGTTTTGGGGCAGGAGGGAAGGGCGCCGCCGCTGCTAGCCTGGGGCTCCCCTCCTCCTCCTCCTCTTCGTTTCCCCCTCCCCTCCCCCCTCCCACGTGGCCCCGGTGGCCCCCGCCGGGGCTCGGATACAACCTGCGGCGAAAACCCGGGGCTCGACCTCTTTCCACCTTTCCACTGCGTTATGATCCCGGAGGAGGAGTTAGAGCCTTTCTGGAAGTCCTCATTATCTAATACACCCCTTCCCCCCCTTGTGATTTTTAAATCTTCACAGGACGCGTGACCAAAACCAAAGACGGCCATGAAGTGAGATCATGCAAAGTAGCAGATAAAACGGGCAGCATCACTATTTCCGTGTGGGATGAAATCGGAGGTCTTATACAGCCAGGGGACATTATTCGATTGACCAGAGGGTAGGTGTGCACCAAAGGGGGAGGAGGGAGAAGGCTTCCTAGGTAACAGTCTGCAGAATCATTGGCTGGGGAACCTTGGCAAGTTCTGGAGTTCCGTATCTTTTTTGTGGGCCTCCAGGGAGTTTTGAGCCCCTTGGGTGTTAATACTGGACAGTGGACAGCTTTGGGATAGAACACCCTTGCCAGAAAAAGCGGTCAGTTTCACCGGGGAATCTAACCCACTCCCCCTCAGTTTACAGGTTAGGTAGATTGTACTGTTTTGGGATTACTGAGTGTTTTTTGTAGATTGATAAAATTAGCATAGTCCATATTATTTATTTTTTTCATAAATTATTTAATAGAGTTGTCAGTTCTTTTCCAACCTTTCCCCCTTTTGAAATCCTGCCAGTATTTTATTTAGACAGGACATAAGATTGTAGTTGGACAATTCAGCAGTTTTTGTGGTATGTCAAATTTGTACTCGAATGTGAAAGTTAAGAAGGGAAGTTTAGAATATTTGGAAGGCACATTCTGGAAAATGAATTCCTGGGCCTACTGCTATAAGGTCAGTGTAGTACAAAAACCAGAATGATATGCAGAAAATGTTTGGCAGGAAGATGTCTAAGATACCTCCATCCAAAAGAGTCAGTTGGCAGATTGGCTTTTAAAAATAATTTAGCACAACCTTTTTTTTTGGTTGGTAATTCAACTGCCTTTAAAATTTTACCAAATGTTTAAATTAGGAAGATAAAAGGCCAGAAAAGGGTCCTGAGATGGATTTTGGAAGTTCTGTGGTCAATAGAGTTGTAATAATTTATTGGTCACAACTATAGGAAAAGTGGGTGGATATTGATGTTGGCATAGTAAATAAAATCTCAGAGAAGTATTGGATCACCCTGAATGGAGGAGGTTAGTTAGAGCCCTTTGATAATACCTTCCAGGCCTTACAACATCTTCAGGAAGTGAGGCAGAGAGTATCATGAAAGAAGGAAGTGAGAGTCAGAACATAGACATTTTATTCTCATGCAGTGACTCATTATGACACTAATTGTGTCTTTCAAACTTCCACATCTGTAGCTTACACAAAAGAAAATTCCTGCGTATGAGGGTGTGGTGAGGATTAGCATAATTAAAGTTTTTTTGGCTGCCAAAGTATTTCTCATCCAGTGATTAAAAGTATTTTATACAGTGTAAACAGCATCTCATTTCAAATATTTCATATTTTGTAGTCAATGGAAAATACATAGGTATGTCCATCAAAAAATTTGTGGAAAAACTAAAATCAAGATCCATATAGGATTTATAGAATTTCAAGGAATATAATTTAAAGGAAAATTCAAAACTAAAGAAACTCCACTGTTTTGTAACTTCAGTGTGACCTTGAGGTTTTTATACTTCTGTAACTTCCTCTTCTGTAAAATGGGAATAATTATACCTTACTAAAATAACATATCTAGCGGAGTCTGGCCTATTGTAAGGCCCTTCAATTCTGGTTGCATCTAAGAAAAGTAGTTTTTGAAGAAAGGTGTACATCTAAATAATGGTAATTTGAATATTGATATGTTTATCAGAAAACCCTGCTATTGATCTCATTCCCGAAACAAGTGCAAGTTAAATGTTTACTTGTAACTTCAAATTTTTTCTCCAAAATGCATTAGCTTTTACGTTACTAAGGTGAAATATTAGTGCACCATTTTTCTTCAGCTTAGCGTATAGCGTAAGAGTGCTGGAGTCTTTAATGAATTACCCTTACTAAAGAGGACTGTATAATGTGGAACTAACTAGTATTTATTAACCTATGTTAAAAAATGGACTATAACTGTACTTAGTTAACAATATTTAGTTATGATTTGTCATTTTTTAAAAAATATATTATGTGACAGAGAGACAGTGAGAGCAGGAACACAAGCTGGGGGAGTGGGAGAGGGAGAAGCAGGCTTCCCGTGGAGCGGGGAGCCCGATGCGGGGCTCCCAGGATCCCGGGATCATGACCCGAGCCGAAGGCAGACGCTCAACAACTGAGCCACCCGGGTGCCCCTTGTTTTTTGTTTTTTTTTTAAGATTTTCTTTATTTGTCAGAGCTCACGAGCAGGGGGAGTGACTGGCGGAGGGAGAAGCAGGCTCCCCACTGAGCAAGGAGCCCAATGGGGGACTCTCAGGACTCGATCCCAGGACTCTGGGATCATGACCTGAGCCGAAGGCAGCCGTTTAACCGACTGAGCCACCCAGGCATCCCTGTAATTTATCATTCTAAGTCTAAAGTTACCGTAGTAGTTGTATAGAGAACCACTGAAAACCAAACCTTGGACTGATTTTACAATGTTTAATTTACATTTTTATTAGATTTTTGTGTAGGAATATTTAATGATTCTGTCTACATTCAGAGTTGGTCAGCGTAAATAATCTGTTCAACCAAGTTGATGCTAAAAATTGCAGGTTTGGAAAGGCAGATAGGTGAGATTTGTGATTGTTTTTTTAGGCCCTTGATTAAATTTTATCAAATTTTCAGTAGCTTGTGAATCCTATGTGTTTTATGAAGGCAAAGGGAAAACTTATATTGATAATCTGAGTAGACTAAGTAAATGGGTATAAAAGTAAACACTTGGTGTTGATTCTATATATTCTATGATTGAAAAATACTTTCTGCCTGAATCTCTTCCATTGAAAGTTCTTTTGTTAATTGACTAAAGATGTGATTTTTGGAGTATAACAATGCTTGCTTTGCAAAAAGACTTTATTTTCTAGGGTTAGTTATAGTTTAGATAATCATGTCAAAATTTGGCAGTAGAGTTTTCTTTGTACTGTTCCTTTGTAAGTAACAAGTTAATCAATATTAGATTAATTGTATTTGATTTACTACCGTATTCACAGAGTTTGATCTCCATCTATATCCCAATACAAAAAATTCAGTATAAAGTTTTACTTAAGTAGGAAATACATGTATTTCTACAGAACGGATGTTTCTTTTCTTTCTAGGTATGCATCCATGTGGAAAGGGTGTTTGACACTGTATACTGGAAGGGGTGGAGAACTTCAAAAAATTGGGGAGTAAGTATTAAAGTGCATTTCCTGTAATTGAATAAATTACATGTAATATCTACAGAATAACTGGTATGTATAAACTATAAACTTCTTGGCTTTTCTGGACTGGTAAACTGAATGCCTTCAAAAGCTTTGCTGTAAAAACAACTTTACACATATATACCAGTTTAACAGCCATCTATACTGATTCCTGTGGTTGAGAATGTCAGTTTTCCCTGGTGAAGAGCATGAAGTTGCACTTGAGATGAGCCCCAGTGGGGCCATTTCTGTAGGCTTTGGGAACATGCATCTTTCAGATGTCATAGTGCCATTTTAAATAGGTCCTGTCTTCTAGTGAATTGCCAAAGAAGCTAGGTAAGAAGCCAGGTTTCAGGCCAACAGTTTAAATTTTCTTTTTTCGTTGATGGGTGAATATGTACTCGTGGTAAAAGGACTTGCAGCGATGACCATTGAAGTCCTGTATTTATCCACAGTCTAGGTGCCGTACAGGCAGCCACAATGAGAGCTTCCATACACTACTACCCTGGTAATCTCCACCCTGACTTGGAGGAACCATCCTCTCTAGGGGTGTAAAGGTAATTCAGCCTCCATAGTAGCCTACACATTTGGGATGTCTTCATAAAGTATTGTGTTGGCAATGAGCCAAATCATTAGTCCATTCTGTTCGGTTAATGTTTAGACATCTACTTAATGCCCATCAAATTCGAGGATATTTGAAGAGGGAGAAACCACACATGGCACCACAAAAAAAAAGGGGGGAGGGAATGTTCTTCTACACTGCAGGGATAAAATTCTTTTTTGGAAAAGATAATCTTGCTAGCTTTTAAAGATCAGAAACTGGTAACACTTTGCTTTTGCTAGGAAGAAAATCATTTACTTATGTTTGTTTTT